AACAGAAGACGACGCCGACGCCGACGACGCTGAGGCACACCCATAAAATATTTTAACATACAATTTTGATTTCTATGCATGACGTTGAGCCGAGCGAAAAAACCGTTTTCAAAAGGAAGTCGTGCTGCTTTTTGCATACCCATTAAAATCGATTAGAAAGGGTTTGTAGAAACTGTGGTAAGAATCTCTTATATACCTCTGGCCAAACACGTTTATCTCGATAACACTTCGATAAATATCGATTTATATATGTAACGAACAGAGAGAATAACTTATATACCATAAGCAAAAATTTTTAGAACTATTTGTAGTTACTTTAATATATAAGAAAATAATCGCACATGAATATATATGTATAAATATATTTATAGGGTATCTATGAAAGAAACCATAGAAGTTACTATCGAAGTTAATTTACTATCAAATTTAAGCGGAGGAGCTGGTAAAATAGTTACATATACAGGGTATCTTATAGCCTAGCAATGGCATTTTTGTGCTGTTTATAGACATACATATCTCAATATTTATTATACTTATATATAAATCAATGTGTATAAAATGCCCTTTAAATACAGATAAGAATACAAATATGAATATGGATTAAAGCTGCTGGCAGCTAAGTAAAGGGTATATGCTTGCCAAACACAACTGTCTCGAGCGCATTTCTTTAGCCTTTTTGCTTGGTGTTTGCTAAGTTTAATGCCGTTTGCTTGTCTGCATCTTGTTGTTGTTGGGCTAACAATTGTTGCTGCTGCTGTTGTAGCATAAGTAGCATCAGCAGTAACAGTAGTAGTAATAGCAGCTGTTGTTGTTGTTGCTGTTGTTGCAGTTGCACGTTAATTAAACGCCGCTGCAGGCCGCACAGCAACCGGAAACAGCAGCAGCGAGCTACTAGCTGATGACTTTATTCGCTGACAGTTGTCAGAGATGGAGCCAGAGAGAGAAAGAGAGAGAGAGGTGTGAGAGGTTGCGCGCTCTGCCTCCATTTCTCTCTAGAGAGAGTGTGAGTGAAATGTTGATGGGTTCAATTATGAGGGCCTCAGCTAGAAATTGCAGCATATTATATAGCTCAAACTGCTGGCCATTCCGCTGCGAACGCGCAACTCTTGGCCAGATGCCAAAATGTTGGACGACGTCATGCCTTTAGGCGCCGCCACTTGTCTGAGCAGTCAGCGAGGCGGCCGCAATTGGCCAACTGCCACGCCTCTTTGCCCCCTCGCAACCTGGTCAACAGATCAGCCCGTAAGGTGGTCATGGCTGCTGACGTAAACGCTTTAAATATGCATGCCACAATATTTATCTCAGTGTGCGGCTGAGTCTTGAGCAAAGAGTTGAATGCGCCTTATGTCACAATAGCAGCAGCGAAGCCACCCAAAAGGTGGGGCTAGGTGGGTGGGTTGGTGGTTGTTTGGTTGAGTGGGTGTTGCTAATGTATGCTGCGACCTCCACATGGCTAATCATAGCACTTTTTTGTACTAAAAAATATGTCAGCTATTAGCATTTTTTTCTGTTTTTTTTTTTTGGTCTTTGCTGTCTGGCAGCTGTTAGCAAGTGTCTGTACTTTGTTGTACTGTTTTTTTTTCAAGTGTAGCTGCTGCAGTTGCTGCTTTAATTACGAACGAAAGCAAAAACTAACAGAATTGGTTGCTGCTGTTGAAGTAGCGATGTAAAGCCTCTTTTATGCTGGTCCACGGAAGTGATAAAAGAGTCGTGCATGCATGAATGGAAAGCATTTCACCGATAAGAAAGTTGCAGGCTAAAAATTTGCAATATATTGAACGAATATATATATTATATAGAAAATCAATTTATACTGAGAGTTGGTTCAAACGAAATTAATATAACTTCTAAAGTTTTACAGCTAAAGCCCCGCATATCTCTATAAATTAGTTAAAATCTATATAGCTATACATACGAATTGTTGGCTTTAGCAGTTGGTTCATGTTGCGTAGTTTTCCAGAGTATAAACTACATATACTAATTTTATCGTAAGTTGAACTATTTCTGAGTGCTTGAGAGGGCATTATGCGGTCGCTTGAAGCCTACTTCAATATTCTTATTCAATATTCTTATATAAAAGCATTATATCTTATAAGTCCAACTCAAAGCTAAGCTAAGCTAAATTAATACATCTTTAGCTGTCTATAAATAAACAGCCATTAACTGAGCTAAGCAGCTGTGTTTCTTCTATAAATAACTAGTTACTCATTATCACTGCTTAACTAGTTAGACTCTTTTCGCTAGGGTATATGCATACCAAATATATATAAGACGAAAACCAGACAGACCTCGTTGCATACAAAAAATGCAGTCTGTAGTATTACGAGATGGCATTTTAGAGTTTGGGTTTTTGTTGGCGGCTGGTTTTATGAGTTGGTTCAAGTGGCGAGTGGCATGTGGCAAGTGGCAAGTGGCGGCCGCAATTACAGCGTCTGGTTTTCTGCCAGCTCTCAACTGCCAAACTTCCAACAAAGTAAGAAAAAAAAAACCAAATGACATTGAAACAAAAAGCGTAGGAAAATCAAAAACAGACCAAAAAAAAGAGTAAAAAGTTGCAAATTATAGCTGAGATTGGTTTTTCTCTTTTTGCTTTGTGGCTAGCTGCCTCGTATGACGCATTGCATAAAATTGTGGACTTTCGAGAGAAAATACAGCAATTTAAAGCGGAAGAAGCTCGCAGTAGAGCGATAAATTAAATTGTGATAAATAAATAAATAATATACATAATGTAAAATTAATACTCATGCTTGAGAGAAACAAATAGAACCAATGATAAATTGGTGGTTAAGAATATTTAAGAGTATTGTATATTGTTCAAGAAAATTATTTATTAAGTACTAATTATTATTTATTATTTATTATTTATTATTTATTATTTATTATTTATTATTTATTATTTATTATTTATTATTTATTATTTATTATTTATTATTTATTATTTATTATTTATTATTTATTATTTATTATTTATTATTTATTATTTATTATTTATTATTTATTATTTATTATTTATTATTTATTATTTATTATTTATAATTTATTATTTATTATTTATTATTTATTATTTTGCAATTTATTGTTTATTATTGTTATTTAGTCTCAAATTCTGCAAACAAAATATATCGAACAAACAATCAAAAACTATCGATAAGTAAATGCGATAAGCATTCGTGAGGTAAATACAAAAGCAAAAAACTCATAACATGGCATTTGCATGACTAAAAGCAAAATAACTGTTCATGATTAAACATGAAAAATTGCATGCAGAGCGGTGAGCGCAGCGCGCATTGGCTTCAACGAATCGAATAATTAAAGCTTTCACAAACTTTTAAACGAACTTCAAATTTATGCACAGCTACAAAAAAGTTTGAGCGAATCCAATTGGATGAATGTTTTTTTTATTGGAATTAATGTATCTACAAAATATTTTGCTTGATAAGATATTTGACTCAATAAGTGTTATCAGTCAACAGTCTCTCTCTTTCTCTCTCTAACATTTTGATTGTGATTCACTCACCTGTGTGTCATTCAGTATCTCCAAATGTTCACCCTTGCGGAAGCTCAAGTCCTCGTCTGTGCGCGCATCATAATCGTAGAGGGCTACAAATATTTTTGCATTCGCATTGGCCGCATCGCTTTCTGGTATCTGGGGTACCGGACGTATTTGCTCAGCCGGCTGTCCGGGCATGGGCATTGCTATTTGCGGCACACCCACACCGACGCCCACAACGCCAATGCTGGCGCCGGGATCATCGAGCGGATTGCGCACATCGCCAGCATGCGGTTTATCGTTGTCCGGTTTCTGTGTGCGTAGACAGTTGCCCATTGTGTGCTTAGGAGGTTTTAGAAGATTCGCTGAAGTTCGAGTCGGAGCTGGAGACGCTCAGTATACAATTTGTGACGTATTAAATGCAATGAATGGAAGCCAAGTTGTTGCTATTTCTGTTGTGGAGTAACGGTTACTTTCACTCACACATACAGCTGAATGCACGCCAATTACAATTCAATTGCACTCGTTTGTTTATACTGAGGACGACACACACACGCACACTTTTATATACATATGTGTGTGCACACCAGTTCACAATTGGTTGTTGTTGTTGCTTATTTGCTCACTCGCGATCAACTGGGGTGTTGGCACTTATCTCTCTCGCTCTTTTGCCTATGTTTGCTGCGCGTCGAGCCTAGCGCGTCGTCAGTTAATTAATGTGTTAATATATGGGCTTATTGTGTGTGATGTTGTTGTTGCGATTTATTATTACACGCACTGCTGTCTATTGCTATTATAATTTATTGCAGCACTCTCTAACTATATTAAATGCTTAAACATTCACACACACTCACACGGACGGCGTATGTATTTTTCTGAATTTTTGCATGTATGCGTGTGTATATGTGCTGTATGTGTGTGATGCTGATGGCCAAACAACAAGACGAACGCGACCATTAAAAAAACAATTCAAAAACACTGATAAACTATTGAAGCACATGCACACATTATTATACTAATATTTTTCGATCACTTATTGCATTTCTTTTACATTTTTAAGTTATTTAATTTACGAGTTTCAGCTGCAGCGAAAATGGCTCCCCGATGAAAACCTGCGCGACAGTCGATAGCACTGCCAAAGCGATAGCATCGATACGTATGTGCCCACAACAGACTTGCAAAGCGATATGCGTCGGAATGCAACATCAAGAGTTATAATCGAATAATGTTAAATTAAATTCTGTTGAATATTGATATATAACAGCTGTTAAATTGAAATATATACTGTTTTACTTAAATACACAAATTACAAATATATTGAGTTGTACGATTATTTCAAATATTATTTAAGGAAAATATATCTATATAATATATTTTGAAATTATGATTAATTTAAAAAATGTATTTAATATGTTTGAATGTTATTAACATATTAAACTTATCGAATGTTCTTAATGTGTTTAAAATGATTCAATGGTTTTTTTGAGCGAACTATTGAGTCAAACTGACTCTTTCTAGGAGTTTCATTCTTTATATGACAAGCGTTTGGGTTGGACTCATATATAGTGTCAATATTATTTTCCCTAAATATATAATTTCTCAAAATGGATATAAAGTCTTTTCTGTTTTCATATTGTGCCAAGAATCAAACAGATCCCAAGTTCGAAGTGCGGCCTATCGGTAAGTGTAGGAAATGTTCCAAGAACCGGCTAGAATTTTCAAGTATTATTGATTTTTAAGGACCCAAACACCGCCAACGTTTTCTGTGCGAAGTACGCGTCGATCAGTGTCCTTACGTGGCCGTTGGCAATTCTACTAACAAAAAGGATGCCGAGAAGAACGCCTCACGGGATTTTGTTAACTATTTGGTGCGCGTTGGCAAGCTAAATGCAAAAGATGTGCCGGTTGATCCAACTGCTCCGGCAGTTGATGGCGGCGATGGTCATGCCGGACGCATGTCAGGCGGTCAGCAGCGTCGTTTCTTCGGCGATTCATCGGGTCCACAAGATTTGGGTGAAGCCTATCGCCCGCTCAATCATGACGGTGGCCGCAATCGCTTCAACATCATCGATCATGTTCAAGAGCAAAAGGATATGAATGAAGCCGAATCGATAGATGTAAATGCAGCCATTCACGGCAATTGGACCATTGAAAATGCCAAAGATCGTCTGAATATATATAAGCAATCAAATAATATTAGAGATGACTACAAATATACGCCCGTGGGACCGGATCACGCGAGGTACGTAACAGCCAGGCAACATCAACCAACAACTCGATTGGGTATAACCATTCATCCATGTATCTATTATGATTTATCCTTTTTTTTTTTGTTTATGGCAAGCTGCGCACTGGATTTAGCGTTTGTTTCGTCCTAAATCTGGAGCGCAGCTCGCAGTTATCGACAAAAATTGGCTTGCTGTGCGCAATTCGTGAACAAGCATTGAAATTTTACAATGAGTACAATGTGCCTAAGCATACGACTACAGTACATGCTCGATAAGGTGAACACACAAATCGGATATAATAAACTATATATAGGAAAGTTCTTAAGATTCAGGGTTCCGATTCCATTTAAAACGACATATCTATAAACTACAGCCACAATAATCTTTTATACCAGTTTTTTGCTAAATAACTTAATGGGAAGTCAAGTTATTTGAGGTAGTTTTTATGGTAGGAGTATACAAAAACTATTTATTTGCTTTGAACAAAATTATAACAAATTAATTAAACATATTCTTTTCGCTTTATCTCCTATGCTTCTATATGTTTGTGTGCATATATAGAGTAGTTGCATCTATCGAGCGTGTACTGTACTTACATATTATAACTGCAACGCGGCTGGGCTTTCAGAGCGAGCTGGCACAACAAATACAAAAGACACAGGTCTGAACAAATATCAGACAATATGCACAGATATATATATACATATATATTATATATATACTGAATGATTGACTGATCAAGCCTGATATTGAGCTACATATAATATCCATATGTGCGCAATGTCGCTCTGAAAGCTAGCGGCAAACGTGAGAGAGAGAGGGCTAAAGAGAGCGTTCCCATCAATTGCGCACAGCAGGTCCTAAATTTGGATGGTAAGTGTAAAAAGGAAGCGAGAATCTTGAGCTTTAAAGAAATTCTTAAATTAAATGATCTAATGCATTCAAACGCTAGGAGCTTCATGGCGGAGCTATCCATATTCGTGCCGGCTCTTAACCGCAAGGTAACAGCACGTGAAACGGGCTCCAATAAGAAATCGGCCAGCAAATCGTGTGCCCTCTCGCTGGTGCGTCAGCTATTCCATCTAAAGGTAATCGAGGCTTTTAGCGGCACACTCAAAAAGAAGAAGGATGAACAGCTCAAGCCATATCCGGTTAAGTTGAGGCAAGAGCTGGTCGACGAGGTGGATGAGGTCATTAAGGATTTGGATTTGCCGGTGGTTAGTCCACGCAACATCAAAGTGGACCCAGACGGAGCAACCATGTCTCTAATTGTAAGCGTTAGCCAAGCTGTCGAGATCTCTACTAATCTCTCATCTCTATAGGTGTCTCAGAATCGCCTGGATATGAATCAGGAGACGGATGCACGTCAGGAGCACATCGCTGTTATACCCTGGACACCGCCGCAGTCCAATTGGAATGCCTGGCATGCTTGCAACATTGATGAAGGTGAACTGGCCAATGTCACCGTCGATCAACTGTCCATCGAATATGAGCGACAGCTACGCGAACGCCGTCAAAATAATACCGAATACAGACAATTCTTGGAATTTCGTGAAAAGCTGCCAATAGCAGCAATGCGCTCAGAGATCATGACCGCCATCAATGAGAATCCGGTGGTGATTATACGTGGCAATACGGGCTGCGGCAAGACCACGCAGATTGCCCAATATATATTGGATGATTATATTAGCACGGGTCAGGGTGGCTATGCCAACATCTATGTCACCCAACCACGTCGCATTTCGGCCATATCCGTGGCAGAGCGTGTGTCACGCGAACGTTGCGAACAGTTGGGCGAAACTGTGGGCTATTCCGTGCGCTTTGAATCCGTATTTCCGCGTCCATACGGCGCCATACTCTTTTGCACCGTGGGCGTGCTATTGCGCAAGCTGGAGGCAGGTTTGCGCGGCATCTCGCACATCATTGTGGATGAGATACACGAGCGTGATGTCAACAGCGACTTCCTGCTGGTCATACTCAGAGATATGGTGGCCACCTATCCGGATTTACATAGTACGTTAACTCGCATATCATCCTCCCTATGCCCAAGCTCATTTTATTTTCCATTTACCTAGTTATTTTGATGTCTGCTACCATTGATACAACGCTCTTTTCGAAATACTTTGGCGATTGCCCCGTGTTGGAGGTGCCTGGACGCGCTTTTCCTGTGCAGCAGTTCTTCTTGGAGGACATCATACAAATGACCGGCTTTGTGCCGTCAGCTGAGTCGCGTCGCAAGCGCAAAGAGGCCGACGATGAGGAACAGCTGTTGCTCAGGGACAACCAGGAGGACGGCGAACTGAATTTAAATAAGGTTTGCGAGGAAAAGTATTCGGTGCAGACCCGCAATGCCATGGCCATGCTATCCGAGTCGGATGTCAGCTTCGAGCTGCTCGAATCCCTTTTGCTGCACATCAAATCCAAGAATATACCGGGTGCCATACTTGTCTTTCTGCCCGGCTGGAATTTGATTTTCGCTCTGATGAAGTTCCTGCAGAGCTCGCCGAATTTTGGCAATTCAGAATATCGCATATTGCCGTGTCACTCGCAGATACCGCGCGATGATCAGCGCAAGGTCTTCGAACCTGTCCCGGATGGCGTTACAAAGATTATACTGTCCACAAATATTGCCGAGACTTCGATTACCATCGATGATATCGTCTTCGTAGTGGATATATGCAAGGCGCGCATGAAGCTCTTCACTTCGCACAACAATCTGACCAGCTATGCCACCGTGTGGGCCAGCAAAACGAATCTGGAGCAGCGCAAGGGACGTGCTGGACGTGTGCGTCCAGGCTTTTGCTTCACCATGTGCTCGCGTGCACGATTTGCTCAACTGGAGGAGAACTTGACGCCCGAGATGTTCCGCACGCCACTCCATGAAATCGCATTGACTGTGAAGCTCTTGCGCTTGGGTGCAATTCATCATTTTCTGTCCAAGGCACTGGAGCCGCCGCCCGTGGACGCTGTCATCGAGGCTGAGGTGTTGCTACGTGAGATGCGCTGCCTGGATGCCGATGATCAGTTGACGCCGCTGGGTCGCCTGCTCGCACGTCTGCCCATTGAGCCAAGGCTGGGCAAGATGTTGGTGCTGGGCGCAGTATTTGGCTGTGCTGATCTGGTGGCCAGCATGGCCTCCTATTCCAGCACCTTCTCCGAGGTCTTTTCTCTAGACATTGGCCAGCGACGTTTGGCTGCCCATCAAAAAGCATTGAGTGGACGCAAGTGTTCCGATCACGTGGCCATGATCGTCGCCGCACAGATGTGGCAGAGCGCCAAGAATCGTGGGGATATCGAGGAGGCACGCTTCTGCGACTGGAAAGGTCTGCAATTGTCCACGATGAATGTAATGTTCGATGCCAAGATGCAATTGCTCGACTTGCTGCTGCAGGCGGGCTTTCCAGAGGAGTGCATGGTGCCCCATAAGGTGGATGCCAATGCAGATGATCCCGAATTGGATATATCATTGGCTCTACTCTGCTTGGGCCTCTATCCGAACATCTGTGTGCACAAGGAGAAGCGCAAGGTATTGACCACCGAATCGAAGGCGGCGCTGCTGCACAAGACCTCGGTGAACTGCAGCAACCTGGCGGTTACCTTTCCCTATCCATTCTTCGTCTTTGGCGAGAAAATACGCACACGCGCTGTCTCCTGCAAGCAAATGTCAATGGTGTCTCCACTGCAGGTCATGATCTTTGGCTGTCGTAAGATCGATCTTGCGTCCAATGGCCTGGTGCGTGTGGACAACTGGCTGAACTTTGACATCGATCCGGAACATGCCGCGAAAATCGGCGCCTTAAAGCCGGCGCTAGAGGATCTGATTACCATTGCCTGCGATAATCCCGCTAGTGTGCTACAACTTTCTGAGCCGTACGCTCGCCTGGTGCGTGTCGTCCGGGATCTCTGCGTACAAAATGCTGGCGACTATCAGCTGGTTCGCGAATCGAGCGTATTGCCTTATATGTCACGTGGCGGCGTTGAGAGCGGCCGCGGAGGTGGCGGCGGACCAGCTAAGCGTGGACGCTTTGACTGTGGATCAAATTATGGCAATAGCTCAGGCAGAAACGGAGGGGCAGGCGGAGGCGGGGGCGGATGCGGAGCCCGCAGCTATGGCAATCGCACAGGTGGTTACAATAATGGAGGTGGCCAATGCGGAGGTCGTTTTAACAACCGAGGACTCGGCGGAGCACGTTACTTTCATGCAAACTACAATAATGTGGGAGGAGGAGGAGGTGGAGGGTTCAATAATGGCGGAGGCAGTGGAGGCAGTGGAGGCTTCAATAATGCTGGAGGAAGTGGAGGCTTCAATAATGGTGGCGGAGGTGGTCGCTATAATAATGAAGACGTAGCTGGTGTTGACTACAATAATGAAGATAGCAACTCCAATAGTGGAGTAGGCGGATATAATAACGAAGGGGGAAGCGGCGGCGGCAGCAGCTATAACATCAGAGGAGGTGGTGGCTACAACAGCGGCGGAGGTAATCAGTTTAACAGTGGAGGAGGAGGAGAAAGCTATAACCAAGGCGGAGTCAACAGTGGCTACAATGAAGGATTGGGCAACAGTGGCTACAATCAAGGATCGAGCAGCAGTGGCTACAATCAAGGCGGAGTCAACAGTGGCTACAATCAAGGAGCAGGCAACAGTGGCTACAATCAAGGATCAGACAACGGTTACAATCAAGGATCAGACAACGGTTACAATCAAGGATCAGACAACGGTTACAATCAAGGAGCAGGCAGCAGTGGCTACAATCAAGGAGCAGGTAACAGTGGCTACAATCAAGGAGCAGGCAACAGTGGCTACAGCCAAGGAAGAAACAACTATAATAACAGATCAAACAATGGCTACAACAATTTCCAAAGCGGTGAAGGCGGCAATTGGGGCAGCTTTACCAATCGTCGCTATTGAAATTATGCTTAACGTTTAAAAACACCTTGTGCTACGTATTATAATTATTACTATGTCTGATTACATTTAAAATAAATAATATAGCTACTATTACGAAATGTATACAGCAAATAAAAATAAATATTATACTCAAATTTGAACTTTGTTATCGATTGCAATAGAGGGGTTTAATTATCGATGATTCATGGCGCGCTTGAGGTGCTTGCTAAATAACTAGTTTTCTGCGGTTTAAATTTGTTAAGCATTGCTAATCTTGCTGCAACTAAATTGCTGGTTACGTATTATTACAGTTGTCATCGCAGCTAATACATATTATGATATTCCTTGATTAAACTTTTTTATATCAGTTGAACACATTTGCCGTTAGATTTTAACAAAATATTTATATCGATTGTGCAACCAGGGCTGCAGCTAAATACTTAGTCGTTCATGCAGAAACTTTGTACATTTAATTTTTATATATTACAATTAGGCCTTCAAATTTTGGTATAATATAACGGTTTAATTTTATGCATTATATTTTAAATATTTTTAAATATAACAGCAATTTAAACAGTTTGATAACTCTGTTAAGCAATAATAGCAGCATACCAGTCTAAGCACTTGTTATCGATACAACTATCGATTGTTTACAAAACTAGCGCCGCCATTCAATTAAAATACGCGTCGTTTGCTATTTAGTGCGCGCGAATTACGTTTGTTTTGTTGCATTTACTCGTACTTTTGTTTATTGTTTATTAAAGTGAAGTATATTAATTGCGCAATGGATTTCGATAATGCCAAGGAGAACATACAGCCCTTGGCAAGTGGTCGAAACGTGAGCCTTCTGCAGGCCTCGCTCTGTCAAGACGCTTCGCAGGAGCTAAGTGCGCAGCGCAAGCAGCTGGAGCTGGACATTAAGAACTACACTGGCGACGATCCACTGGAGCCCTGGTATGCGTACATATGCTGGATAGAGCAAAGCTATCCGGCGGGTGGCAGCAATTCGGGTTTGCAAAAGGTGATGCACAAATGCCTAACAAAATTCGAGGACGACGAGCGCTACAAGCAGGATCCGCGTCTGATTAAACTGTTTATTAAATATGTAAGTCCGAGACAGATATATACATAAAAACTCAGACTTACAGCTTTTATATTTTCACATAGATGGGTAATCAGGGCGATCAGATCGAGTGCTATCAACAGATGTATAACAGTGGCATTGGCACCATGCTATCCGATTTCTATATAGCCTGGGCATATAGCTACGATCTCAGTGGCAATATGCGTAAGGCAAATGAAATTTTTCGCTTGGGCGTTGAATGCCGCGCCCAACCACTGGAGGAGTTGAAGGAGGCGCAACAGCATTTTGGCTATACTGTGGCTCAGCGTATGCTCTACAGCGAGGGCGAAGAGACGACGGCTGTTACACAGGAGCTCAACGATCGACGACGCGCCTTGCGCTCGCTGCACGGCCAGAAACGTAAGAATACCATTACGGTGGGCAGCGTGCGCACAGGTGCCGCCATCAAAAGCAATATGCCAGGTGTATTCCAGGTTAGTTAACCGAGATGGCAAATTCTTTCAACTTCCCGCTTTCACACTAATTTTTGTTGGTATTTTCAGAGCTCTGCGCCCAGCACCAGTCGCGCCAGTCGCAATGCCCATCGTCAGCTGGAAGTGTTCAATGATGAGAATGTGGATGTGAATATGCCACCACCACCAGCTCCAGCCGCTGCTGAAGAAGAGGGCAAGACCAGTCTTCGTTCCATTATCGATGCAGCCCGTCATCAGGAGAATTTGAAGGAGCCGATTGCCTGGAGCAAGCCGCATAAGCATGGCAAAATCTTTGGCTCCGCGGCACAACATGAACCCGGCTTTGCCATACATGTGGATGAGAAGTCGCTGCCGCCCATTGTAGATCCCGATGGCAATCAGGTGAAAGCCTTCAAGCCTCCACCCAACTTTAGGGCGAAGAACGTAAAGCAAGATCCCTGGATAACGCCCGTAACCATTGAAGATGAGCCGGATAAAAATACGCTACCTTGCTATAACAAGTGCATGCTCTATCCGCGTCCCAATATGGAATTCTCGGTCGAAGAATATCGCGCCTATTGTTGGTTCAAGCGACGCGACAATCAGCATCCCTATGTGCTGCGCAATGCGTCCTGGTGGGCCAATGACTGTGCTCTAGGCGTGCGTCGCTATCCAAACTTTGCGAGTGTTTCGCAGCCCCAGCCACGCGACGAATTGGATGCCTATTATAAGCCGCCAAATGTGCCAGCTTTAGAACCGCTGCTAGCCAAGATCTACAACGATGTGGAGCAGCAGGAATATCAGCTGGAAGAACTGCTCGTAGCTAAGAGGCCACAGAAGGGGGTCACAAAACTTGGTGTCATGGATATGGAGGAGACGGTCTGTTTGCCAGGCGAACAAATGCCGCGACGCAAAAGCTTCTTTCCCAATACACAGCCGGGCACGAGTCACAAGTCGGTTATGCGTGTTTCATATGTTTTGGAGGAGGAGGAGGATGAGGACAAACAGGATGAGGGCCAGGAGGAGCAGCTCAAAGTCGCTGAGGCGTCTGCAATTAAAATATGGCAAGATGACGCACCAGCTGCACCAGCTGCAGCTACTCCCCGGCCAACTCCTGCCACATCGCGTGCTGCGGCTGTCGCATCTGTTTCACCTGACGATGATAAGTTGGTGATGCCACCGCCGCCCACGCTTAAAATCGAGATATATGAAGATGATGCCAACATGCCACCGCCACCGCCTGCAGCTGCACTTAAGCCAACAGCCAGCGCCTTCTTCGATGCAGATGAAACATGTTCGACGCAAATGTTTAACGTATTCATTAAATCGCAGGCGGTGAGCACGCCGAAGGCGTCACAGAAGCAGGCGCCAGCTCGTCAATTTGGCACTTTGCTCAAGGCTTCGTCGCCAGAGGCAACAGCAGCAGTTGCTACAGCAGCGCCGGCTGCACCACTGTTGCCCCCTAGCGATGAGCACGGCAGCGAGGCAGCTGCTCAGCCCGCTTCGCCTATGCTGCGCAAACAACTGTCAACCATATTGGAAACTTCAGAGCATGGCATGGGCGCAACCACAAAGTCCACACTGACCAGCACCGCTTCGACCACAGCCTCCACTTCGCCTAGCTTGCAGGCAACTAGCCACAAATCAGAGCAGGCGATGGAAAATACGCCCGGACCGACGCGTTTCCAGCGGCAAATGGTCAGCGAGTTGTCCGTAGTGGGCGAAGAGCCAACGATTGGCAGTGCGACTGTAGCCGCTGGAAACTTTCAACGTCTCGAGCTCTGGGAACCAAATGCACCAAGTGTGCCGATGCTGAAATCTTTGCGCTTCCAGGAGGATAAAACGGAAACGGTGACCAGGCCCTTGATGGCCTGCTTTCAGGAAGATAAAACCGAAACGTTGCCCAAGTTTCCATTGACTCAACCGGACACGGCGAATGCATCGAAGCTGCAGATGATACAGCAGCCAGTGCCGGAGATGCCAACGTCCTACGACGAGGATGATATTTGCGGACTGTTCTCCAAGACGCCACCCAAGTTGAAGACATTCGGCACACCACTTTATGCTGGCAACTCCAAACGTATTTGCAATCAGGAGACGCCTGAGGTCTTCGGCAAATCGATGAAGCAACTGGAGCTGCCCAAGAAGAATTCTTTTGAGGTCTTCGAAGATGATGGCTTTGCGTTGCCAGCCGTTAAAGCCAGTGTCGATAAGCTAGCCGAATCCTTTATGGCAGATCTGTCCTTTGTGCCGGAGACACAGTCGCAGGCGCCAGTGGAGGGCAAGAGTCAAGCAGGCATGCAGAAGAAATTTGAAATCTTTCTAGATGAGACTATGCCGCCGCCGCCACCGCCGCCCTCTGTAGCGCCGCCCATGATGAACTGCACGCTGCCCGAGACGCAGTCGGACACGATTGGCCCAGCACATTTGACGGCATCTTTTATGAAGGACTTGAGCAGTTGTCCCATGCCGCAGCCGCTGTCAACGAATGCTCCAAATTTTGATATATTCCTAGATGAATCTCTGCAAAATATGCCCCCATCTCCAGCCGCGCCGCCACAGGGCGTTGAAGCACTGGATAAGCTGGAGACTGTGGGACCAGCTCATCTGACCGCTTCCTTTATGAAGGATTGCACAGCGCTGGGCAACTGCCCATCGACGCCAGGCAACACATCCACAGCAGGTTCAAGCAAGCCAGAAAGGTCCAACTCACAGTCGGCCACATCGTCAGCTGGCAAGGATTACTTTGAACTGAATGCAGCTACCGAGATGTTTGCCAGCAACTTAAGCATGATCAAGAACTCCACGCTGTTGCCCAGCAAAGTGACAGCTGCGCCGTTACCAGCTGCAGCTGCCGCCTCCTCCTCTATATCCATACCAAACGTTGTTGTTCAGGAACCTCCGCTAAATGATGAGCGCAGCATCTACTACAAGACCACGCCGCTGACACCCAAGCTCTCGCAAAATGCCTGGCATGAGTCGGCCGCCAGTCCACGCTCGAAGAACTTCACACATCGCAAGCCCAGCATGGATGAATCTGTGCTAAATAGCACGCTGGCTAGCAAAAATGTGAATCCATTCAATGTGGATGTTATTAACTCGTTGCTGGACTCCATTGAGTTTTCGCTGTACATCGAAAAGCTGCCCAATTGCCAGCTTCAGGGCCATGTGAAGCGTCTCATGCCGCAGTCGACGCTGGAGGTGAACGGCGAACAGTTCGAGGTGCAAAAGATTATAGGCAAAGGAGCTTATGGCTGCATATACAGTGGCATTCACAGCAAGTCGGGCAAGAAGGTGGCATTCAAGCAGGAGCGTCCCACCAACTACTGGGAGTATTACATATGCCTCGAGGTGCATTCGCGATTGGAAAATGAGAAAATGGTATTTAGTAAATTCTCTAAAAATCCTCTATGCCCCTTACTAACTGAAGCTTTTCGATTACCTGTTTGCAGCTACCCGCCTATATGAACATCGATTACGCTCTGGTGGGCAATAATAGCAGCGTCTACATCTCGGAGTACTCAGATTACGGCTCTTTGATCAGCGTTTGCAACAAGTTCAAAAAACATACGAATAAAAATATGGATGAATATGTTGTAATGCATCTGTGCTGCCAGCTCTTGGATATAGTCGATCATCTGCATGCTATAGGCATTATACATGCGGATATCAAGGCGGATAACTTTCTGCTAATGCGACCGTAAGTAATTTAGTTCATAATACAAATTATGGCCACTGCATGTACCCAATAACAGGGTATCTTCTAGTCTGGCAGTATCCCTTAAAGTACTTGCTTGGCAAATAATCGAATTTCCTAATTTTAGCAACAATATAAGTTATTGCAATTGCCTTTTCACCACACACAGGGTATCTTCTAGTCAAGCAAACAATGTTAATCCATTTTACAATCACATAAGCACTTAAAGAATTCCGTTTTTTTAATTATTAATAAGCATGGAAGCTATGTCAACTCATTTTGATTAACTACAGGGTATCTTTTAGTCAAACAAGCTCCGTAAACAAATTTTTGCTTTCACATAAATCATCAAAGAATAATGACTAAAAGTTGTTATCAAAATTATTTCCAGTTTGTATATTGACTTACAGGGTATCTGCTAGTCACATAAACCGCTTTTAAAGATTTTATGCGTTACTTAAGTTGTTAAATATATTAGTTGTTCCATGCTAAGCTGTAATTTAAAGATTAACAGCTTTTAAGTTACTACAGGGTGTCTTCTAGTCAGTCACAGTCTACTAAAGCACTATTTTTTGCTTACAAATATGTCTTAAATATTAATTACCTGAAAAGATTATTTAAAATATTTTTTAAAATTTTTAAATACCCTGTACAACTTAATTCATCACTAATGCAATATACCCTGTAAATATTTGACATAAACACTTTTCCGCTTTCTGCTTTACAGTTTGAGCGCTGATGCAAACGAGCTGAGTGTGCAATTGATAGACTTTGGTGTGGCGATTGACACGAAACTCTTCGCGCCGAACCAGACGTTCGACTACGTTCACAACGAGGAGGCCTTCAAGTGCATTGAGATGCGAACGCAGCGCCGTTGGACATATCAATTGGATTTATTCGGCTTGGTCGGCGTGATACATGTGCTGTTATTTGGCCGTTATATGGAGGTAACACAGAGACAGCCGAGTGGCATTTGGATGCCAAAGACGGCATTGCCACGTTATTTCAATCGTCAGACCTGGGAGTCCATATTCCGTACGCTGCTCAATGTGCGCGATTGTCGCAGCATGCCCAATTTACAGCAGCTGCGTACCATGCTTAAGTCGGAGCTGGCCGAAAAGGAGAAATTTGTTGAGGCGGCCATAACTAAGTTCAATTTGATCATGGAAAGACAGGGATAGAAATGTTTAACTAATTGTCTATAATCTTATATATAAAATATATTTTAAATTTTAGTTATTAAATTTAACTTAATTTATATCTTCTGTCAATTCACTTCGTTCAACCGTTAAGAGCGAGCTTGGCGTTGCCACATTGTTTACAAATTATAATTATGGCAATTTTTTGAAAAGCTTTGGTATTTTAAAGTAGTATTTTTTTTTATTACCAACAATATAAATTCTAAGCAATGTGTTTATGTTATCTAAGATTAAATATTTAATATGTATGTTTATTTGCTCAACGCATATCCATTTTACCAACAATTACATGATCCTTTTAAACAACCACAATTGTACGCTTTTGTGCCGTTAGAATCGCGGTTGCTTTTTACAATTTTGCGCGTATAAACAAAATAATTTCGACCCAATTAAGCGGTTTTACGTACATTTTACAATGCGGCAGCGAGCATTAACTGAAGCGTAGCAATAACAGTCAAGTCCTAGCCACTCCCCTTTCTGGCTGACCACCCACTCAATTCGAGTGCAATGCAATTTTTGGTTGAATCAAATAATTTGGGTTATAGCATTTGGTATTTTGCGAATGTGGCGCCATTTGCATTTTACAGGCATTTTGTCGTTACGAGTATATACATACATGCATGCATATATACATATGTATATATGGCAGATAACGTTTCCGGCAATGTCATCGCAATTGGCCCTGCGGTCTCGTGTGCGTGCATATGCACAGCATATAAATCAAAGTCAAAACAGCTAGACATGATTCACAAATGATCAAAACAGACGAGCCAACGGCTTGTTCCCTTTGCCCCTGCCAAACATTGCCATATGAAAGTCTTATAAATCAACTACTGTGCGTGTGTGTGTGTGTGAGTGTGTGCGTTGTGTTTGCACGGCGGCGGCTGCTGCTGTTAGCCCTGGCCGGAACCATTGCATGCGGTTGACTGTTTTTGACTGCAAGCTGCTAAGTTGGCACAAAATGTTTGTGTGTGTGTTTTGGCTCCCTTCGCATTCGCACTGTGCGCAGTTTGTCAAAAATTTTGATTAGCCAAACCCAAAAATAAAAAAGCATTCGTTGAGGCAGTTATGTATACGACTCTTGTATGATTGGAAAAATACATCTTATATTGTATGCTTGCTAACTGGCTGAACTAGTTCTCGTTTGAATTTTGCGAACATGCACTGCGTTTGCACCAGTTCGTAGCGGCATTTGATCTACAGTACATGTATAAGTACATGTATAAGTACCAGGGTTGATAATTTAACCGTTTCGCATTTCAGCGTTTGTATAAGTACCAGGACAGCCAACAATTTTATGTGCGATTATATATGTAAATACCAATCCATTAACATTGCTTATGTACAAGGGCGACCAATTAGCTAGAAATTGAATTTTATCTACACATAGCATGTGCACGCATACAGTTGCCTGCGACCTAGCTGTTGCCTATGTACCAGGGCTACCAAATAACTTTCATTTAAACGGCTCACCTCCAATTCCTAAGTTTGATCTACTTTCTACATAAGTACTTAAACATTAGCACTAGGGCTACAAACTTAGTTTTACTTTTCGTTAAGCCAAGCAGCCCTGATAATAGAATAAGCCAATGAAATATGGCAGAAGAATTTAGTTTATATGTATATATAAATATATAATACTTTTATTTTTTTTTGGCAAATTTAAAGCAGCTGCTGCTCTAAGTCCGCCTAGGAGTTTTATTTACCAAGCAATTGTTGTGGTTTTATTTGAGAGGCCAGGCATACACACAGACACCAATGCAGTGCTTGGGTCTCACATGGACATACATGATTTATGCAAATTGAAAATGACCTTAGACCCTGACACATACACACACACACACACAGACACGCTGGCATGAACACTGTCCATTTACCATGTCATGCATGTTGTACATGCACACAGATACACACATATGTATATGTGTGTATGTGTGCATTTTTGGGGCTCCTGTTGACTTGATTGTGGCAGCTGCTTGCCGCTTAGCTGCTGTTTGGACCACATGCACAGCTTCCATAACCATTTACAGTTGCTGCACAGCTTAGCAGCAAAACCCAAAAGGATAACGAAGGGAGTTGGGCAGCTCTTACACACACACATACATAGACTCTCTCTCTCTCGATATACATATATAAATATATTTGTATGTATGTACGTATGTCTGCATGGGCTGCCATCATGCATTTTGCATCATCAAGTATTTTTGTGCCATTATTTCATGAAATTCACATTTATTTTGCAGCTGCTCTGCCCAAAAAAGCGCGCGTCCTTTTGGCCAGCAACAATACCAGAAAAAAATAAAAAAGAAGAAGATATTGGCCATGTGTATTTTTAGCCAGTTCAATGTTTTGTTATAAGGATTTTGCAAAAAGAGAAATACGAAGAGATTAGCAAAAAGCAAAGGCTTAAATAGATGCTGAATATAGATGGATATATATTTGTATATATGTGTATATTAGAAAAGTTGAAGGATTTTGGAAAAGTTTATATATAATAAAAATAGCAAAAAATGTTTATTAAATATATTTGAATTTAGGCAAACGACGAGCTTCAATACGGTCAGCAACGAGAGAAACTGCTTCAGTTCTGTGTATATTATTATATTGGATTAGATTATATATGTTTTAGATTTGATAAATATTATGAAAATCTTATAATAAATCAAGTTCTTAAATCGAATCATAGTGATATTGACAAAATAGATTTTATAACCAGTTATTAACCTCATCATGATCAGCCAACAATAATTATCATAATGCACGTTTCTTTAATAATGATCATTAGCTTAAGAATCATTATTATAATAAAGAGAAAAACCATTTCTTAAATTATAAACATTTTGACATTTATTGCAATTCCACTTAAAATAATTAATATTTTCACTGATTAAGCAATTAGCAGCACTTACCAGAAGAAGAAGAAGAAGAGGAGCACTGCACGGGACGTCCGATCGGGGAGAGCTCAGCTAAGCGACTGAAGAGGCGCTGCAGCAACTCGCGGCTCGGGCGCAACTCTCCCACACTCAACGTCGATCTCAGCTCTAACTGAGCCTGAGTTAAGTTGGTTTTTGGACTCGCTCATTGAGTGACAAATGTGAGTATTTTGTGGGGTTTTTACGAATTTATCTAAAATATTAAAACAAAATATAATATTCTTAATATAATAAATAATAAAAAAATACTGCTATAGTATTGTTTCTCATCAATATAAATATAATGCAAATAAATGAGAAACAAGAAATAGATAGAAAATAATATAAAAATTACAATATATAAAAATATTTATAAAATACATAAATATTTATTTATAATGCCAAAAAAAAAATAAATAATATATATTTATATTAATAAAAAGAACTGAAAATCTATAAAAGTATGCAAATTTATAAATAGAAAGAATTATTGAAATATATAAAAAATATAAATATATAAACTTTAAGTAATATAAAAAAATATATTTTTAATAACAGTAATTATAATTATTTTGTTTTATGTATATATATATGGGCTTTTCGTCAAATTAATATAAAATATACTTTTTATTCTAATTAGCCAATAAAATTGATGATTCAATTCAATTGTCTTTAGTTAATTTAATAGCTTTTTTTTAGTTTTTAAATGATTTCTATTTTTACACCGTTTTATACACTTACATACTTTAGTTCAATGAATAAAATAGAATTTTTTATGATTTCACTGAGCAGCTTATTGACAGTTTATATAATATGGCTAATTATATTATTTAATTTGTGCGGCAATTGTTTTCTTAAGATATTTATGTATATATATAACTAGTATTAATATAGATATATTACTTTTTTGATTTACATTATAGATTTCACAAATTTCCCTTAAATATGTATTTTTAAATTATTATTATCATGTAAAAAATACCCAAAATATACTCAAAATAAAACAATGGAAAGCAATATTTAATGTATATATTTAAAAGCAAATATCCCCATTGTTATAATTTGTTATCCGCCTAAAGTCAAAATATTCCAATTTCGAATATACAAAAAAAAAATGCTCTGATTCATACTCCATATAGAAGTAAAACTAAAGCTTTAGTAATACCTTTCAGGGAAATTTTTATGACATCCCAGTAAATATAATAGAATTTCCACATTTTTATAGAATCACTTTCGATCTTATGTAAAAAAAATTGAATAACAAACAGAAACACGAAAAAGATGCTAACCAAATAATCATTTATAATCATTATATTATATATAATCAATATCATGCAACATTATATCAGAGCGTTATGCACTTGCTACAACTTCAGAAATCGTCAGCTCTATAGAGCTGCAATGAACCAATGGAATTTACAATTAAATAACGCGCGGTTATCGTTCGCTTAATCAGAGAGATGATAAAATATGAATGTATATATATATGTGTATATATAGTGTATATGTGTGTGTGTATAGGAACAGTAGAGCAGAGAGTTAAGCACGTCTAATTGCGGTAATAAATGCATAGTGATGTCTGGCCTGGTCTGGTCTGCTCTGCTCGGGTCTGTGTCAATAGTATATTCAAGTCGGAGCTCACCAAATAATGCTCAGACGTATTTCAGTTATTGACACGCGCAGACGCCTCGACTCGGCTGTGTTTGCGAACGGGTAGTTAGCGTTTTATGTGCCCAATTTTAAAACTATTAAATATTATAATAATAAAGCCTTCGAGATAAGTGATCTTTTAATATTCGTTCTCAATGGGCGCTGAAATTGAAAATACAGGTGAATATTCTGAAGTGCAAAAAGGATTAACGAGCTGAAGTGGCATAATAAAATGACATACTGTGAAATATATATTTATTTAAAATCTAATTGAATTTTTATAAATGTTGTGAAGCACGAAAATATTTTTTATTTGTGTGAGAAAAGAAAGCAACGAGAGAAAGTTTATTGAAAAAAGTAGTTAAAATTACACTAAGCTACAAAGTTCTTGTTGTTTACAAACATAATATGTTACTACGCTATAAAATTGTTGTTGTTTAGAAACATATAATAACACTATGCTACAAAGTTGTTGTTGTTGTTTACTAGACATACACAAAGTCCAGATAATTTTTGTCTGAGTTGCCAAGCTAAAGACTTTAAATTTGAAATATATATATATAGTATATAGTATACATATAAAGTATATTCATTTATAACTTTCTTTGATAATGTTTTCTGCAATTTCTTGGCACTTCCAATGTGGCTAAACGGGAATTACCATAAGATCTTTCAGCTATGGCGCCTATTTTAATAGGCCAGTGACTTGCTATATAACACTTAGCAAGGCTATAGAGATAACTCGATTGAGGCCTTGATTAATCGATTAGAGTTTTACAGCTATGCCCTAAATGATATGATTAGTGATTTACGGTGGCTTTTGTTCACAGACTATTGAACTAGGGGCATAGCCACTTGAGACTGCCTACAGCTTTAGAGTTAGGATCAGCAAGTTTTACAGTTATAACATTTTTGATCTGAGCTTATAGATTCACCCCATGGGAGTGTAGCAAGCAGAGAATCGTACAATTACTTAAAATTTATATATTTTTCAACTGTGAGCGAGCAACGTCTGTTACATGAGTCACTTTAACTTCCGCTAATCTTAAAACATTTTCAAAGATCGTTTGAAAACAAAACCCATTCAAATAAGCTTTACAGATATTGCACGTTAGACTAATTAAATGAAATGTTTGACGCTTGTGAATGATAAGTTTTAATTAAAACATTGAGTAACAAGTACGGCTAGACGAGGGAATACCCTTGCTAAGCTGAGATAAGTGTTATAGAGATTGAAGGAGAGGAGGAGGCAGTAGAGATAGATGGAGAGAATTATTGGAGAGATAGTGGGAAGGAAAGTAAGAGGTGGAGTCTGAGAGAGAAAGATGAAGACATGCACAGAGAGATAGAGAGAGGGAGCGAGGAAGAGAGAGAGATGGAGACAGAGAAATAATACGGCAAAAAGAGAGAAACGGAGATTCGAATGGAATGAAATAGAATGCGAGAGAGAATGATAAAGAGAGATTGAAGAGAGAGAGATAGAGAGAGAGAGAGAGAGAGAGAGAGAGAGAGAGAGAGAGAATAACAGAGGAGAGAGAGTGGGAGAGAGAGAGAGAATAACAGAGGAGAGAGAGTGAGAGAGAGAGAGAGAGGGGGAGAAAAATAATGAAAGAATAAAGGAGGAGAGAGAGAGAGAGAGGAATAATGAGAGGGAGAGAAAGAGAGTGTAAAAGTGAAAATTGAAGAGAGAGAAAGACACAGAGAAAATTGGAATGAGAGAGAAAGTGCAAGACTGAGAATGAGAGGGAGAAAGAGAAAGAGAGAGTGGGAGAATGAAAGAATGAATGAGAGAGAGCGACAAAGGGAGGCAAGGAGATAGAGAGAATGACAGACAGAGAATGTTAAATGGAGAATGAGAGAGGGAGAGAAATTAAGAAAGCAGAGAGAGAGAAGTTAGATATAGAAAAGAGAGTAAAGTTACAATCATTAAAGGAGAGGCATAGCCAAAGCAACAGAGATGACAGATGAGTAGACTGAGACAGCAAAACAAAAAAAAATATAAAAATTATGGACAATATTTAAAAATAATATTTACGTCTATTTAATGTCGTATACAAATTGTTTTTTTTTTTTCATTCTAAGCTTAAGCGAAATTTCGAATAAATTCTTATTATTATAACAGGTTTATTATTAAATATGAAAAATGATGACTTAACAAATTTGTAAGCCCTTTGAAGTACTCTATTATTGTCGCCAATAAACTTACCTCAATGTAATTAGTTGCTTTAACCCACATCCGTTTCGTTTATTAATAGACGTCACAAATTTTTAGCTGTAAAGAATTCTTGTTCTCACGATTAGATTGAAAACAAGTTTTTAATCAATTAAAAACACATTTTTAGTTATATTGCCGCCACTAAAGTTCTTACATTTTTGAGTTCCATTGAACTTATCGAATTTGTTTTGCGATCCACCGGAATGAAAACGGCCTGAATGACCGATAAACTGGTCGAACTGGCCTCGATCGCAACTAACAAAAATTAGACTGAATAACACATAGCAAGTGTGTATATAACTGTTTTTAATATATGCCAGCGTCAGCGACATTCGATGCATAAAATATTGTAATATAGAAACAAAATTTGTGCTGGGATGAGCTCGACTGAGCAATGCCCTGTAGAAGGTAGTCAGGGCAGTGAAATGAGGTGAAATTTAATTGAAATTTGTAGGAAATTCGTAGAAATTATTATGCCTTACAAACGTTGTGCGTTCAATGCACTGCATATACCCTGTAATATTAATAAATAAAGTTTACTTAACACGTTCAAACATTTTGGCTTGAGGAAGATATAAAAAAAGCTGTGTATATTGACTAACTTGCTTATTTTACAGGGTATATATGATGTGATATGTGACATATGAAAACATATATACCCTGTAAAATATGCAAGTTAGTCAAGTTAGTAGCATTGCATAGTATAGAATGATCATCAACATTGGCAAATTTAGACTTGATTCCTACCATGTAGCTCATATCAATTATTAGCATGAATATATATACCCTGTAAATTAGAGATATGTGCTGAAATTTCAATAATTTACAGGGTATATATATGCTCATACCAAAAAGAGATAAAGTATTAAGAGTCTAGTCTATATATATCTAAGAATGGGTTCGTTTACCCAAAGACCCATAACTTTTACAGGGTATATCGTGTATATATCATATATAATCATATAAAAAAAGCATGTTCTCTACTGCCTTGATGGGTAGTTAGTATTTTCATTATATAAGTTAATCTTCCCAATTTCCTTTCCTTGCCTCATCTGCTACTCCAAGGCCCCTGTCTTGGCATACGTCATTTGCAGGCTTTGCTGCTCTTCTTGGGCATCATGGTGAACTATATAGCACGACTCAATGTCAGCGTCTCTGTTGTGGCGATGACAAATGCCGAGACCTCCAATCCCGATTTTCCGGTAAGCTCAACGCTAGACAAAGTCTCTGATAACTGCTTTAACTCACGCTCCGCTTGCAGGAATACGATTGGACGGAGGCACAGAAATCGTACATACTCTCTAGCTTCTATTGGGGCTACCTCGTTACACAATTTCCATCCGGATTTCTGGTGCGTCGCTATGGCGCTAAGCTGGTGCTGTTCATACCCACCTTAGCGACGGCCGTGCTGAGCTGTCTAACCCCGTACTGCATTAGCTGGGGCGGCTGGGTGGCGTTCAGTGTGCTACGCCTTACAATTGGACTCTTTCAGGGTCCAATCTTTCCCTGCATTCACGAACATCTGGCCAAATGGTCGCCGCCCAAGGATCGCAATCGTCTGGGTGCCTTTGCCTACTCTGGCGCCGATTGTGGCTCCGTTATGGCCATGGGTATTAGTGGCCTGATAGCCGATAGCTCTATGGGCTGGCCGGGCATATCGTACGTTTCGGGGGGACTTTGTGGCATTTGGAGCATCCTTTGGCTATTGCTAGCTGCGGATAATGCGCCCAGCTCGCGTCTGATTGGCGGGGATGAGCGTGATTACATAGAGCGCTCGATGCGACGCAACGATGGCTTCCATGACCAAAAGATTGCGATACCATGGCGTGCGATTTGGACCTCGGCGCCGTTTTATGCCTTGCTCGTTGTGCGCAGCGCCCAGGGCTGGGCGAACTCAACGATGCAGCTGCAAACGCCGGCATACATGCACGGAGTCCTCGGAATGGACATCAAGAGCAATTCCTTATATTCGGCTCTGCCTTTTCTGGCCATGTGGTGTATGTCGTACGTGTATTTGGTAATAGCCGATGTGATTATGTCCAGGCAGTGGCTGTCGCTGACCACGCTACGCAAGTCCATCAATACGATATCGTACTGGGGTCCGGCAGCGGCGCTGATTGGCATCGGCTTCCTCGACAAGAGCCAAACGGGCTTGGCCATTGCTCTGATGACAATTAATGCCGGCCTTAATGCGGGCTCCGGCATTGGCAGCATTTTAACCATTATCGACATGTCGCCCAATCATTCCGGCGTACTAATGGCCATCGTCAACAGCATCGGCAACATCTTTCCGCTGCTGACGCCGCTGCTGGTGGCCGTCATTGTTACCGAGCCGGTAAGTTTGAGCCCAAGCTGGCGCTGAGTAATATTATAAGTGCCTTGAAAAGGGGTCGATTCCGTAGGTGTAAGCTTATGTAACAGGTGCGAGAAATTTTAGCTGTGTCTATAGACCTTTGTCTGCCCTTCGGTTAGTCCGATTGTCTTTCCATCTGCCTTAGTGTCTATGCATGAAGCTAGATTTGTGGCAAAGTTTTGGCAGGTGTAAAAATTGTGCTTTGTCTGCTTATTCAGCTTTGCTTCCACCTCAATTTCTGACTCTATCTTACAGCTATCCGTTTATCCGCCTACTCGACAGTCTTTTCGCCTTTCTATTCATTCATTTATCCATAAGTTCACGCATGTTCATTTGAGCCTATCCAGCTTTATCCTTATCTATCTGCGTGTTCATCATTCTCTTCCTTATTTACATTCATATTTGTACTGCTTATCCGCTTTTTTATCCGCTCATATATTCAACTGCCTTACCTTAACATATCTGTCTATTAGCTTTTCGTTCGTCTCTTTCAGCCGTCTATACGACTGTCTATACATCTATATAGTTGGGCGTCTTATCATATGTCTGTTTATTCCCCTGTCTATATTTATCTATATAGTATACCCATCACCATGAATGGCTTATCCGTCTGCTTATCCATTCTACCTTTTCGTCTGTCTAGCTCTCTCCCTCTCTGTCTGGTTATTTGTTTTGCTTATCCATGTGTCTTTAATATAGCTAAAGCCCTTGAAAATTGATACTAAGAACTTACTTTTTAAGCAAAATGTAGAATGGAGCCTAGCAGCAAAGCCTATACCAACAAAGAAAAGATAATAGAAATAGAATTAACAGAGTTCAACTTAATTTACAGAGTATCTACAAGTCATATACTCTCAGTTAAAGCACACTTGTGCATAGTGGAAAAGAAAACAGTTTGAAACGTATTTCAGGATGTTTTCTAGTCGATTAGCTCGCACTTAATTTACTCGCAATTGTTTTTGATAATATCTCTACGCCTTATCTATTTCGCAGAGCTCGCGCAGTCAATGGCAAATTGTGTTCGCATTAACGGCCATTGTGTTCTTCATTGGCAACCTGGTGTACATAATTTTGGGTACGACCGACCAGCAGCCGTGGGATGCGGTCGACTATCTCAAGCCGCGCGATGCCGAGCAGCAGCCGGATCAGCATCAACTCGAAGCGAGGAAGGCTAAAGTGAAAAGCGAAAAGGAAATCTAGGCAAATAGATGTAAGGCCAGATTAGCTGTGAACTGTAAAATAAGTAGAAATTAAGCAACAAATTGAATTAATATGCTGCGTGCCACGCGGCGTATACGCAATACAAATAAACAAATATTACGTATACGCAGTGCATGGACGTTCAACTAGCATTATTCAGTCCTGGCTGGGCTGGAATGAAATGTGGTTAAGCATTGATTGTACTGAGCTCTGAGCCGGACAACTGCGTTGATTTTTAATTAAAAATTCTTAAAACGTTTTTGCGCGTATTTTAATTTCTTGTTTGCCTCGCGCATCTTTTGCTGCGGCTGGTGCTGCTACTGCTGCTGCTTCTGCTTGAGCCGCCGCAAAATGTAATAGAAAATTCTTGTTACTATTTCTGCTTTGAAATGAATTCATTTTCTATTTTTGGTGCTTTTGGGCCACGCATTTGCATGGCCAGCGGCCGAGGCCGTAGACGACTTTCAGTCACTCAATGCCAAAAATAATAAAACAAGAAAAAAACCCAAATGCAAGAAATTCTCAAAAAAAAAGAAGCAAAATAGAAAGCAAAACGAAACTTTGCACACAAATCAGAAAAATGGACACTTGGCGGAATTTATGCACGAACGCGTGCGCACAGTACGCTCTCGTCCGGGAATTGTTTGCCAGCAGCGGCAGCAGTAGCAGCAGCCAGTGGACATAGCCAACAGCAGCCGTCGCCGCCGCCGCCGCCCAACAGCCATAGCCACAGTCAGATCCCAGTGGCAAGTATGGCAAGTATGGCAAGTGGCATGTGGCATGTGGCATGCGGCATTATTTTTTTTGGCTACTTCTTTTTTAGCCTCCTCCAGCCGCGCCCCAGAAAACAAGCTGAAAACCGAAACGAAACCAAAACGAACATGTTTTTCAATTAAAATCGTTGAGCAGCGCACAAAAATTCATTTGAATTGCCCACAGCGGATAGCGGCCAAAGACAAGTCATAAATGACCACTCTCATACACACACACACACAACAAAAACACATACATAGAGGCGCACTAGTTAGATAGGCTGATCAGGTGTCGCTTGCAGAGAGACAGAGAGAGAGGGAGAGAGGAAAAACGAGTTTTCTTAATTTAGAAAATACTATAAATTCATTAGCTATGAAATCAATGCCAATTTAATTCACATCGTTTCGTACTTTTTTATTGCTACTTTGCTAGTTTTTATTTAATTAATAAATTAATTTTTAGTTTAATTTTTTGTGCCAGATATTTTCCATAAGTTAAACTGGGAGCCATAAAATTAATAATAAAACTTTCTATAAATATACTTTATTTGTATACCTTCGCAATAATATTCAAGACCATCTAAAATTGTTGTTGAAAATGTTCAACAAAAAAGGTTTATTAAGCCCAAATTCCACATTTATTATCCCATTATATATTATATTATATTATATTATATATTAGCCCATAAATTCATATATTCCATTACATATAACATAAAATTTCATTCATATCATATCATATATATCTTATCATATTTTATTTGCCACATTCCATAATTCTAAATTCTATAATATATATTCCAACTCTTAATTCCAAGTTCCATCTTCTATACTTCATATTTGCTTTATTTAGGTTTCGGATTCAATGATTCATGGCCTGAATTTCATATCATTCAATATCACATTTCATATACTTTGTTCCACATTCCACATTTCTTTTGGCATATTTCTAACTACATAATCTACGACATATTATAAATTCATATTTTATGTTTAATATTCAATGTTACACATTTCATATTCCAAATTCCATATTTCATATTCCTTCCATATTAAATACTCGATATTCCACATTCCACATTCCATATTCCATATTCCATATTCCATATTCCATATTCCATATTCCATATTCCATATTCCATATTCCATATTCCATATTCCATATTCTATATTCCATATTCCATATTCCATATTCCATATTCCATATTCCATATTCCATATTCCATATTCCATATTCCATATTCCATATTCCATATTCCATATTCCATAATCCATATTCCCAATTCCATATTCCATATTCCATATTCCATATTCCATATTTTGCTAGGCTAATATTAGTTCACATTTTCTATACTAGACTTCATTCCATTCCATTCCATTTTCCACATTCCCAATATTCTACATCCTCAGTGTTCTCTGAACATACAAGAAATACTTTAAAATACTTAAAAAACGTATTAAATACCAAATGTTGTAGCCTTAATTGAAGAAGATATCAGGGACAATCTTAATTAAATGTGTTGAAGCCAAAATGCTTTGACTCCGTAAGTACGCATCAAAGTCGCATGGACATTGGCTAGCCACAGCATATCGAATGAATTTAGATAGCTATGGACATACTTTGGTAAATAGTTATTGGCAAATAATTGTGAATATATTTCATGTTTGTCTATCGAATGCATTCGATTGATATTCCAAATGAGTTGGAATTCGCAATAATGAGATGACCACAAGAGCTGCAATTCCAATGGACTGTGGCTGCCAAATTGTTAGTTGGTTACCATCATAACTACACACACACACACACACACACACCCACACACACGGATAGACTATATTGGTTTATATAGTAATTCGATATAGTCGTAGCAATTGTGAGTGTTCGCACTTAGCTCGCATTTAAGTTAATATTAGAAAGTGAGATATGCATTTGTGCTGGGCGTCAATTTGCAAATTATAATTGAGGCAACATCAGCAGCTGCTGCAGCAACAGCAGCAGCAGCAGCAGCAACAACAATCTACGACAACAGCTCGAAAGATGCTTTTATTGTCTTGCCCAAGGGTCAGAGTGAATGGCAGAGAGTCTGTCAGAATATGTGCTTAGAGATGGTCGCGTGACACGATGCAACTTATCAGATGAGGTATATATTTGATAAGTAAGCTATAGACAACTGATCTCAACTTTACTTATTGACTACGAAGCGAAATGTTTGACCTAAGATTTGAGCACTTTGAATTTACCTCAGCTAAAAAGTTTATACATAAAGTTGGTGTGAAAATCTTTGAAGTATATTATGAAGTTAATATAACATATATAGATATAAAAATATATATAATAAAAGTGAATTTTGAGCATTTAAATAGGCTTAGATCAGAGAACGGTTTGATTAAGAAAGCTAAGTTAAAAATTTAATAAAAATATTTAAAGATTTCAGAACTTTTCAATATATTACCTAGAATCTTGGGCTGTATAAGTTTCTAGAAATATATGTGCTAATATTTGAATACGATAGTTCATAGACTCTTGCGTGTCACGAGACTCAACTCTAAGTGCTCATCAGATCAGAGTCGAAATTTGTGTTGAAACTGCCTCAGCAGCCACAGGGACAGACGTATACATATATGGGCACAGATGGATACAAACACACACACACGCACGCACACACATTCATAGACACAAGCAAGCACACATAGGCAACCTAGGACACACGCACATACCTACACACACACACACATGCGTATATTCATTGCAAGTGGACCGTCAAGTACAGGAATTGCTGAAAATTTAATTTATGCCCGGCGCTTTCAATTGAGGCACGGCCCGTCGAGCAACAATAGCTGGAAATTAACAGGCACAAAAGCCTCGAGCCCGGATCTGATCTCTTGCTCTTGTGGCTGCATAGTTGGAGACGTCTCTTATGCTGCTCAATGCGAGCAGCAAGAGCCACAACGCCACAGCACGACAGCCTCTAGTCAATGCGTTGTCCAATAAGTGTGCTGCTTCTGCTGCTGCGTTTCCATTCTTTCAGTTTTTGGTCGCTTAATTAATATTGCATAAGCGCAAAAGGACATGGCGGCAGCTGTTGTCCTTTATGAGCATGCGGACAGCCAGCAACACGAGCGTGAATTTATGCGTTGCATTCTACTTTTGTATGTCCATGTGTGTGTGTTGTCCTTCAATATTTATGATGTGCCCATGATTGATGTCCATTTTTGCACTTCAGAGCAATTGGCGCATTTTTATGCAAAGAGCAATGGGTCGGCGGGTAAATTGCGGCTCCATTGTCTCCATGGCCTGCAAGAGGATTAATGCGGCTTTCTATTTGGTTGAGGCTTACAGACTTGCCAAGTGTTCGGATAGTGGCGGCTAGTCTAAGAATGGGTTATTTAAATACAAGTGACTTTAAGCTTATTCTAAAATAATCTTAGCTACTTAGAAACACTAATATCTGAGTTGAGTATTACGCAGAGCCACTCTTATTAGCGACATTCGTAGTAGAAATTGCAGTAGTGATAATAGTAGTATTACTAATAGTAGTAATTGTGTTGGTATTCGTTTTAGAAATAGTAGTAGAAGCATAGGTTTGTAGTAGTAGAAGTAGAAGTAGAAGTTTGTGGTACTAATAGTAGTAGCAGTAGAGTAGATTCGTATTAGTAGTAGAATCATTTTAGTAGTAGTAGAAATTGTAGTAATAGTAGTTGTAAACGAAGTAGTAGTTGAAGTAGTAGCGCCAAAAAAGTAGTAGCAATAATAGTAGTAGTAGTGGTAGTAGTGTCAAATTAGTAGTAGTAGTTTTAAAAGCACCAATTAAGTAGTAGTAGCAGTACGAAATAAGTAGTAAAAGTAGTAGTGGTAGTAGAATCACTAAATAAATAGTAGTAAAAGTAAAAGTAGTTGTACCAAATACATAGTAGTAATGCTAATAGTACCACCAAGTAAGTAGTAGTAGTAAAAAAAGTAGTAATAGTAGTAGAATCATGAAGTAGTAGTATTAGTAGTAACACCAAAAAGGTAGTAATAGTAGATTAAGTAGTAGTACTAATAGTGTTAAGAATAGTAGTAATAATAGTAGCAATACTAATAGTAGTAGCGCTAAGAAGAAGTAGTAGCATTTCTAGTTGGCCGAGTTAGTAGTAATTTAGTGGTAATACTGAAAGGCTTTCAACTAAAGGTAGTAGCTGGAAGAGCAACAATAGTAATTAATGTGGGAATTGAAGAAGTTGAAGTATTTTAATGAACAACGCAGCAAACTGCTAAAAACTGCACTTTTTTCTACTACGAACTTTCTAAGAAGTTTCAACTTTTAGTTTTACTTATATTTATATTAATTATATAAACATTAATTTATTCAAGTTCTTTTAGTTCTTCTACTTTTGTTACCTATTTGCACAGCTTCCAGTTTTCACTGTTAATTTTACATTTTCCTTTGGTCATATTCGATTTCTTTTTTATAGGTAAAGCAATATTTCATTAATAACTTTTTGCGTT